GTGAGGAGAATTGCCGAAGAGGATGAAGGATGGATCAGAATGCCGAAAGTGATACGAGTGTCGCCTTCGTTGCTGTAAAGCTGTCGATCCGGGTTCCTAGCTTCGAGATCGCATGTGAAAAGCTCGCGGAAAGCGGCCAGTTTAATGCTGTGTAGAGTCGGGAAAACACGTGCCATCCTCTCAAGCATTGTGATTAGGTGAAATCTTAGCTGTCGAATAGCGCTCGCCTTTCTTGCCACAGTCGAATCATATTAGGCTTTCATGTTGTCGTATATGTGATGCCGTGTCGAAATGATTATTGTGATCATGTCACGTTTTCAAGTTAACGTTCGACTACGGCATTACCTTCCCGAGTAACGGTTTTACTTTGAGTACCAGTTCTTGCACGCTGTCGAGAGATCTTGCGAGTAATCGATTGTCGTTATCAGTCCCCCCCCCCCCCCGAAAGTAACCGCAGAGAGAAGTAAAAGCTCGTATTGTAGAATACGGTTGTCGCTCGCGTTAGAAGTAAGTCATCGTTCCGCTTTCGTGGAAGTAGATTATATTGAATCCAGCGGAGGGAGCAAAGCTCCGGAGATTGCATGTAAACGATTTGCTGAATATAATTGTTTTTTATTTCTTCGTTATTTCATGTGTGATTCTTATAGTCTATCTCTCTCGCCCTCCAACAATTTCCCCATCTTTGACAATTCTGCCGTCGCAGATTAATTACGAGTGAAAGTAGAAGAGAATATTGAAGTGAGAGTGGCACGCTCTCTCGCTTGCCTGGCGCCCAATTATTTAGTGAGAAGCTCTGAGATTTGTGGAAAACCCATCTAGTCAAGATATTACGCTGTCGAGTGAAAAGAGTACTTTTACGAGGAGAGCAAGAAGCACATGACGAAGTTGTGTCGTCGCTCGCAAGTTCGATTACAGTGTAGTGTTCGATCACAGACATAGTGTTTTCGATCAATTCAATGATTGAAGTAAAGATGTAGTGTATCTCCTGCGCCCAGTTATACGGACGCATATACCAGGTGTAGAAATATGAAACCGGAATTTTCCTATATATGGCACTAGCTATAAGGACCACAAGACCGCATCTGCAGCGCCATCATCTCTCTCTAACAGCTGACGAAGATTTCCAACATACAACAACCCAAGTTCCATACACCGGTATATTTTTTTCTAACCTTAAACATGTCGAGTTTTGTGCCTATGAACTACGATTTGCGGACAGCATTGGTTTTCTGTTATCATTTGAAGAAACTGCTGCAGAATCGCATCGAATGCTTGTCGAAGCTTACGGTGAAAAACATGCTCTTGGTAAAACACAGTGTTTCGAGTGGTTCAAAAAATTCAAAAGTGGTGATTTTGACGTGAGAAACGAAGAGCGTGGGAAACCACCGAAAAAGTTCACAGACAACGAATTGCAAGCCTTATTGGATGAAGATGATACTCAAACTCAACAAGAACTCGCGGATCAATTGAATGTAACGCAGAAAGCCATCTCCATTCATTTGAAAGCTATGGGCAAGATTCAGAAAGTGGGAAAATGGGTTCCGCATGAACTGAATGAAAGACAGCAAGAAAATCGAAAAACCACTTGTGAAATGCTGCTCGACAGATACAAAAGAAAGTCATTTCTCCATCGAATCGTCACAAGTGATGAAAAATGGATATATTTTGAGAATCCTAAGCGTAAATCATGGGTGAATCCAGGCGAACCATCGACATCCACTGCAAGACCAAATCGCTTTGGAAAGAAGACAATGCTCTGTGTTTGGTGGGATCAGAAGGGTGTAATCTATTATGAGCTGCTAAAACCTGGTGAAACCGTTAACTAATCGCTACCGACAGCAAATGATCGATTTAAATAGAGCATTACGTGAAAAACGACCGGAATATGGAAAAAGGCAACACAAAGTCATTTTGCTTCATGATAATGCTCCATCACACACAGCAAAACGGGTCAGGGAAACGATCGAGGCGTTCAGTTGGGAGATATTAGCGCATGCGGCTTATTCTCCAGACTTGGCTCCGTTCGATTATCATCTATTCGCATCACTGGGACATGCTCTCGCTGAACAACTTCAATTCGTGAAAATGTACGAAAATGGCTCGATAACTGGTTCGCTTCAAAAGAAGAACTGTTTTTTTGGCGTGGCATTCATACATTGCCGGAGAGGTGGGAAAAATGTATAAATAGTAATGGAGATTATTTTGAATAAAAAATTTTTTATTATTTTCAAACAACAGACGTGTAATTTTTACAAAAAAATTCTGGTTTCATACTTCTACATCTGATACTCGGCAGAGACATTATTTTGTCTCTTGATATGTAAATGTATCATTTAGAAATAAGTTTTGTTAAAAGATTAATTTAAGTGATAATTGTAAATTGGTTTTTACTATTCCTAACACATTAATAAGTTTCATAAGGAGAGGAAAGGATGATTTAGAACACGTTCAGAATCAAAATGTGGTCTACAAAATATCTTGCGAGGATTGTGATGCCAGTTACGTTGGCCAAACTAAAAGACAAATAAAGATCAGATTGCATGAACATGTTTCTGATATCAATATAAGTTCAAAATCTCCATCAGTGATTTCCAACATCGTATAGAGGAGAATCATAACTTTAAATGGGATAAAGTGGAAATATTAGATGTAGAGCCTTCATATAATAAAAGGTTGATATCTGATATGGTCCATTAAAAAAACAGAAGCATGGGATTAATAGACAAAATGACACGGAGTCTTTGCCGGATTTGTATTCTGACATTATACATTCTCTTTCTCCTTTCTAACATCTTCTTTCTTTTTCCCTCTATTTTTCCGTTTTCCGTTCTCGATAATGTTTTTCTGCTTGATAAAAGAAGGTATAAAAGAAGGGCAAAGAGCCAATAACGTATAAAAGAATTTTAATTTAAATAAACAAAATTAATACAAAACAATTAAAATAAAATAAAATAAACGTTTCAACTCCGATCGAGTCATTTTCAATGCAATCTTACAATAATATAAACATCGTTCTAAATTAAAAATTCATATATAGTCTTACAATATTCTTACAATTCCTTAACAAAAAATTCTTTCTTCTTTCTGTGTAATACGCTATGAGTCATTTTTATCAAGAATTATTAGGTGTTGGAATTAATTCGTAGCGTTTTACAAGTGATGGGAAGTACTTTCATTAATGTATTTTTTAATGCTCATGTGAAATAAATAACATTCTTTCATTAAAAACGCTACGAATTAATTCCAACACCTAATAATTCTTGATAAAAATGACTCATAGCGTATTACACAGAAAGAAGAAAGAATTTTTTGTTAAGGAATTGTAAGAATATTGTAAGACTATATATGAATTTTTAATTTAGAACGATGTTTATATTATTGTAAGATTGCATTGAAAATGACTCGATCGGAGTTGAAACGTTTATTTTATTTTATTTTAATTGTTTTGTATTAATTTTGTTTATTTAAATTAAAATTCTTTTATACGTTATTGGCTCTTTGCCCTTCTTTTATACCTTCTTTTATACCTTTTATTCAATGTGTTTCGACGTTGCAGCAATCAGTATAGATTAATAATCAATATAAAAGAATATAGATATAACATTGATAAAACATTAACACTTTAACGTTCAACATTGCAACATTTCAATAATATTCTTTCAACTTTCTGTGCTGTGATATACATACAATTATATTTTATAACATTATTTTCTTATAATCACATTCAAATTTTTTATTTTGCTCAAATTTTCATCCCTTGATAATAAAGAATATTGTACAAGACTTGTGAGATATATGGATTATATACATATTATGGTACTGCTATCCGAGAGAAAGCAATGAATCTATTTATATGTATACACATTATACGCAAGTACAAGATATTGAGACACATATGTAATTATTATTATATTACGAGTATTACTTGCATATTGATAAATGTATTCATGTATTGTCATGTAACAATTACTATAGATGCAACTTCATCACTAGATGCAAGAAACTAATTAGTAGACACTGGCCATTGTATAATTATTCCAGAGACGCGAGTACCGTAAAGTATGACATGGAAGTTTGTATGATCTTAAAAGCATTAGGTTCAAATCGTATTATTAAAATCATCTTGTGTCACAATTATAATATATACATGTTTGTGCAGATATCACTTTATTTTTACCATGGTGAAATTCTCCCTTGAAAAAATGTAAATCTTGCAGGCGGTCAAGAAAACAGGATGAAAGGCTTTTTGCATGACAAACAAAAGCATCCTTTGTGATTTGGGGGATGTTTTATACCAAAGACTATTGTAGCTGCATTGTATATACTTAATTAATTCACTGTCATCAGTAATACACATATGCTAATTAAATTCCGTAATAGTATATGTTACATTTTCCAAAAAAATTTTTCTTACATTTTATCGCGCGTTTGAAGACTGTGATCTATTAACTTTTGTCCTTCGAAACTGAGGCAGAATAGATGAATCAGTTGACTGAGGACATATACTACGTATCTCACCACTATAAAAACGCTGGCATTGTGCTGCGTGATCTTCATGCAGTATGAAAAGTGTAACATTTTAAACATTTGCATTTATTTTTTCGCAATTTTATGAAATGTATCTGATCCTATATAACTGCAGTATAAAGAATGATAGAATCTTGAAATAACAAATAAATACGTACTTGTAACAAGGTAATGCTAATCATTACTGTATTTAATGCTATTTGTAGAGCCAGCGTTATCGAAAATGTATCTTCGATCAGTTGAGCAAATCTATGACAAAAATGAGGGACTAATATTGGGTCGATTTGTGTTGATGGTCATATATCTAGTGACAAAGTACCGCGGATACTTTTTTTAGATGATCCAATAATAATATGAATCAAAATTTCTCTCCCTGTCTCTCTCTCTCTCTCTCTCTCTCTCTCTCTTTTTCTCCATTGCCAGATTACTTACTTTAAAGCTTTTCGGTGCGTATATACGGAAAATGCAATTCGCTTGCGAAACGTGTCACTTGCACGAGAATGTAAAACTGTTATGGTATCACTTTCATATTCATTACATTTATACATCAATCGTTCGAATCGAAATCTGCAAATATATTCACAATGATATGTATATGAATTTCGCTAATATTACGTCAATTGTTTTTACCCGCCTAGGGCGAAAATACTGCAGACATGTTCTATATAAGTTAGAAGCATACAATCGTGAGCCACTATTCCGGTCACTGCTATTTCCCAGACCACGACAGCGTGCCAAAAAATATAGAAAAAATATTCTTTTTCGTCAACAAAATAATATCCTGGATGAACTGACAGTATAGGACGAGATTCGTTGAGAGGTAATACGATATCTAGTAGTGGCGGTATAAGTGACATACACAGGAATAGAAATGCGGATATGAAGCAATATACTGCAACAAATCATAATATATAAAATATAGTCGTCACAAATAAAGACATATTTCGTCCAACAATTCTGAATTACAAATTTAAAAAATAATTTCAAGTCGCTATTTTCGAAAACAATAAAGATCGATATATGTAGGAGAGATCGGGGCTAATAGACTTTTCAGTTTCGAATTTTTACAGACAAAATTAAGAAACTTATCGAAAAAATGAATTCTATGTTAGTTACTACCTAATAATATTTTAATAATAAGGGGAAACTGATAATTAATATGAAAAAAATGCATTTTTTAATGCATTTCATCTGATTCAAGTTCACTAGTCCCGGAACCGGGGTAATTCGATTAAGATTATTAAAATAAAGATTAATGTGTTTTAAGCTGCATTTTTTGTTACATATTAATAAAACTTTTATAAAAATATATTTTTAACATAAACATTCACTTCGCAGGACAAAACAATACTTCTTTTTGCAAAATTTGTTCATTTCGTGCAAAACACATCGAATAAGTCTAATTTTCGAGATTGGACATGAGGGAACTAAACTTATAATATTTACCACTGAGGAAAATCTCTTTAAAGGAATAACATTTTGAATAAATACTATGAGTCGTTATTAAATGAGTCATATAGTTCCATGCTATGGTTAGTTTACTATCCCTATCCGTTCATTTTTTAAAAACATTAACAATATATGATAACAAAGACACATAAACAAAAAAAATCTGTTGGACTTTATTAAGTAAGAATTACACTTACTATTTAAAACTAGAAATCAAATATTTCAGACAATTATATACGATTGTAAAACAAAAATTTTAAGAATAAAAATATTTACTTAGATGTACGATTTTTTAAAATTGTGGCATAACTTCTTTCATAGATAGTATAAAAGAAGGGCAAAGAGCCAATGACGTATATAAAAAAAATTATAATTTAGATAAGCAAACTTAATACAAAACAATTAAAATACAATAAAATAAAAAACCGTTTCAACTCCAATTGAGTCATTTTCAATGCTATCATACAATAATATAAATGTCGTTCTAAATTAAAAATTCGTACATAATCTTACAATATTCTTACAATTCCTTAACAAAAAATTCTTTCTTCTTTCTGTGTAATACGTTATGAGTCATTTTTATCAAGAATTAACAAAGTCATAAGAAAGTTCTGGAAAAGTAACCGTAAACAAAAAGAATTAATATTAATCACATAAAAATTAAAAATATGATGATATATCTTAGTAAATCTGTTAAGAGTCCAATAATACACAACGAGAAAAAAATGTAAAATGTAATCCATTTCGGGTACAATAAAAAAATCTTTTTAATTTAATAGGTTATTATAAGCAAATTCGCAAAGGTAACGAGCTTCTGACTTAAACGATGTCACAAAACGAAATGTCAAACAGAAAAACATTATCGAGAACGGAAAACGGAAAAATAGGAGGAAAAGGATAGAAGATGTTAGAAAGGAGAAAGAGAATGTATAATGTCAGAATACAAATCCGGCAAAGACTCCATGTCATTTTGTCTGTTAATCCCATGCTTCTGTTTTTTAATATGGACCATTTCTGATATCCGTAATTGGCATCACAATCCTCACAGGATATTCTATAAACCACATTTTGATTCTGAACGTGTTCCAAATCATCCTTTCCTCTCCTTATAAAACTTCTCAATGTGTTAGGAATAGTAAAGCCAATTTACAATTACACATATTAACAATAGGTATAAATCTTTCGGATATCGTATTAACATATGGAATCGTAAAGAACCTCCTCCCAGTGTCATTCTTATTCTTATTTAAATTATTAAACTTATTAAT